AATATATTTTGTCTATATCTTGTAGGATTAGATTTAGGCTCATTATGTTCCTATATATATGTGTACATGTCTTTTGAATAATACACAACATATTTTTCTCAAATTCTCACAGCTTAGATGAGGCTTATAAGAGAGTGTTTGACAGAGTTTATAAACTCTTAAAAAGAGTTTAAAAGCTCTTAATGAGTTTAAAATTTCATAAATTCGTTTGGCTCAGCTCCTAGAGTTTAATTTTGGAGTTTATAAGCTCCAATGTAACTTTTAAGTTCTTTAAAAAAAAAGCTCCTCCCTTACTTTCTTTCGGACCTCTTTTGTTTTAAATTAAAAATGCAATGTTACCTTAAATTTTAATTAGTTTTCAATTAAACCATCCCGAACACATCAAAATTCAAATATTTTATAACCAAAAATAAAATTATTTTGTATTATTTATATTTAAAAAATAAATTCTTACACCCTACCAAACATACAAATAACTTATTTTAAAAATAAGATAAAAGAGCTAATAAGCTATTTTAGAGCTCATAAGTTTATAAATGTCATAAGCTCTTTTTCTACTTGCACTCTCAAATGGACTATAAAACCTTTAAAAAAAATAGTGATTCTATTTTTTTTTTTTTTTTTCTTCAGGAGCTCTTTTTATATTAATTAAAAACCAACATTACTATTAAATTTATTCAATTTTCAATTAAATCATAGTGACATAGTTAACAAGCAATAAAATTAATATATTTTTTAAAAAATGAAATTATATTATATCATTTACATTTGAAACTCTTTCTATCACACCTTACCAAACATACAAATAACTTATTTTAAAAATAAAATAATAGAGTTTATACACTATTTTAAAGCTCATAAACATATATGACTTATAATTTTTTTTTTTTTAAACAAAAACAACAAATAGGTAATGTAACTTAAGCTTCATTCAAAATTTATTATCTAATTACATGGGTCATACTAATTTGTTCATGTATACACGTGTTTAACTAAATTCTCTGAATTCTCAATTAGTACCTGAAACTTTTGCTCTTCACATTGTAAACTGCAAATCAACCATTGTCATCTATAAAATTTTTTTTTCCCATTTTGCCCATACAGAAAGGGTTCCAAAACATTCAAAAAACAGATATGTTACATCATTAATCCCAAAATCAATACTCACTTAATTTCATGGCTCCCTCACATCTTATTCCTTCAAAATCCAATTGTAATCATCCCGAAAACCCGAATAATTTTTTTGTAATTATTCTACCAATATTTTTTGCCACTATATACAAAAATTTTAAGCACTCAGCTCATATAATGCATTATTTCAGCACTAGCCTAATCGTTCAACCATTTATCTACATTATTCAAACACTAACCTAATTATTTCAACCACTAAGTCCACTTCCAAATTTAAAAGTGGAGTAAGTGCATAATTATTCATCCACTAAGTCCACCTACAAGTTTGAAAGTGGAGTAAGTATACAAATAGACCAGCCACTAATTCACCCTATTATTTCAGCCTAGCACTAGATGAAATGATTGGAATTCAATTATTTTTTTTTTTTTTGGAGCATGAAGTGTCGGCAGCAATTAAGTCTATAATTTTAAATATTTCAGCACTAACATAATTATTATTGCAACCACTACGACATTGTCATCTTCTTCACCGTCTTCAATTCCTTCTTCATTCAGAGAGGACTGTGCAATCTATCTTTCGGGGGCAATATCTCACAAACGGGGAAGCGTTAGAGTGAGATCTTGGTACCGTTTCGAAGCTAACACGATAAGCTTTCCATCCGTGTAAGTCTTACAATTTTTAGAATACATTTTGCCCTCCAAATATCCCTAAACCGTGAGCTCTTATGCTGTCCACTATAATAGTTGACAGTGCAATCTATCTTTCGGAGCCAATATCTCACAAACGGGGAGGAGTTAGAGTGGGATATTGCTACCGTTTTGAAGCTAATTCGATAATATTTCCATCCATGTAAGTTTCCCAATTTTTGGAATCCGTTTGTCCCTTCAAATACCCCTGAACCGTGAGCTATTTTCTGTTCACTATACCAGTTGATTGTGCAACCTATCGTTTGGAGCCAATATCTCACAAATGAGGAAGAGTTAGAGCAAGATCTTAGTACTGTTCCGAAGCTAATTCGATAAGCTTTCCATCTATGTAAGTTCCATAATTTTTGGAATTCGTTTGTCCCTCCAAATACCCTTGAACCGTGAGCTATCTTCTGTTCACTGTACCGGTTGATTGAAATAGGTCCTTCCGGCGAACTTCTGGTCACCTTTGCTGCTGTTTGGACCTAGGTGAACAAAGAGGACATAAAGAAGGTCATCCATACCAGTTTTCAGACTCTTAATCAAACCTTAGTCTGAGGATTTCTAGCTGCAACGTGTAGGACGATTTTTAGTGAACTAAGGACCCAAGGCAAGGAATCCTGACTTTCTGCTATTTTTTTTCTTGTTTTTCAATAAATTACTTGGGGTTCTTTTAATGTTTTATAATCCTAGCAAATCTGTTTACAAGAGCTTATATACTCATGTGTTTAAGATTTGTTTAAGAGGTTAATTTTAAGACTATAAATGGGAAAATTCATAATATGCAAACCACACATCTGCTGCCTTTGAATTTTTGTCCGAATGCTCTTAACACATAGGAGAATAGAATGTGAAAATGTCATTTGAATTAGAAAAGTTTACGAATTTTGGTGAATTTTTGAAGTTTATTTCGTGTATTATAAAAGTTGCTAGATCAGTGACCTTTAGATCACCATAACACTCACTTGTTTTAATATTTTTATTTAGGGTTGATTTCTATTAATAGATTACATATATTAGTTTTACCAGATTTAATTTTAGCCCAATTGGATGTAATATGAATTTTTGATGATTTGTTGAAGTTGGCTGTTTTAAATGAAAAATGGTCAAAACAGTCCACTTTGGAGTCCTATAACTCGAATTTGATTTATTATTTTTAAATGCGATTAATTCCTGTTGATAGCCTGCATAAAGTAGTTTTACGAGGTTTAATTTCAGCTTTATTGGAGGTAATATGAAATTTTGGCAAATTATTGAAATTGACTGTTTTTAAGCAAAACTGTTACAAACAGTCCACTTTAGAGTCTTATAAATTCAGCTAGGATATTGGTTTTGTGTCAAATTAAATTTATTTTGTTTGACCATATACAATAGTTTTATCAGACTGAATTTCGAACTATTTGGAGTTAAAATGAGTTTTACATGATTTTCTGAAATGACTATCTGACCAGCCTTGAAACTGTTCGACCAGCAGCATTCTTAAATTTTCTGCGAGTTTGTGAGGCATCTAAAAATCGTGAAATTTTAACGAATAGTGTGTTAAGGTGTTATCTTTCATTTGCCTCTGATTTTACTTAATTTGAGTAACCGAGTGATTTTATATGATTTTTCTAGTGGGACTGCACAGTTTTTAGAGTATTATTTAGTTATTTAGTTATTTTAGAGTATTATTTAGAGTATAATTTTAGTTATTTAACTTTAGCCTTAGCGTCATATCAACATGAGAATCCCACCAAAACCCCATGTGGTGTGACGTGGCAGACAGCTTGGGTTGTTGGCCCGACCCGAGTTGTTACAGTTGGTATCAGAGCCAAGTTTACCAGATATCCTGGTGAACATGGCTATTATGTGCTTAGTTTCATAAGTCTCTTGTGATATGTGACTAAGTAATTTTATTTTTGTAAGAATTTTTGGTGGACCTTGCTATGTAGGCGAGGGTGAGTGTTGGGCAGTTGTTAAGGGATTGCATGCATTGCATTTTTTTAATTGTGAACTTGTTGTACTTTGTTGCTTTGTTAGGGTCCAGTCATGTGGTGTTATATTGGGTTGTGGATAGGATATTCCCATTTCCCTTAATCCGTCTCGTGTTTTCGTTATGAATGCCAGAATGCCTCGTACTAGGAGACAGGCTGCGCTCGAGAATGAGTTGTACGTGGGACCCGGATACGATGAGCCTGACGCTGACTCTGACGACACTGATTATGAGGGACTTCAGGACTACAGTGATGCTGAGTACGTCAGTGAGGAGGATGGTGACTTTGACCCTTCCCATGTAAGGGGTCCTACACGTCGGGCCTATCAGAGACCTGATGTTGTTCCTCCTCTACCTAATCAGGCCAGTGGACATCAGGAGAATGTGGGTGGCTTCCAGCACTATTCCCTACCACCTCCACCACCTCTGTACCCATATCAGGGCCCTCCATTGGCAGCTAGGGGAGGTGATGCTCCACCTCCGGTACTAGTTTAGTGGATTTCTTATGCAGTGCCACAGCAACATTCACAAGGAAATGCACTAGACCGACTTCTCAAGTTCCAACTGCCGAAATATGATGGAGATAGGGATGTTATGGTCTTTCAGAACTAGCTCAACAAGATGGACCATGATTTTCAGATGACTGATTGTGCCGAGGACTTAAGGGTTGATGTGGCAGCTCTACATCTCACCGGCGAGGCTCAACTCTGGTGGGATATAGTTAGCCACTATAAGACTCAACAGCCAAACTATGGATGAGAACAGTTTGTGGCAGATCTGAGAGCTAGGTATGCACCGAAGCATGTACTACAGGTGCTGAGGTTGGAGTTTGCAAAATTGGAGCAATGAGACATGTTTATGACTGAGTACTTTCGCTAGTTTAGTCAGTTGGTGGTGTTTGATGATAATGTCTGGGCTTCCGAGGCTACTCAAATTGAGAGGTTCATAGGGGGTTTGCGTAATGAAATTCAGGTCTTGAATGTCAATGTCAGGTTTGCCACTGTAGCTGAGGCCATGACAGCAGCTGAATCAGTAGAGCGTGAACAAAATATGGCAGCAACCAAGCAGACCAGCAAGGGCAAAGAACTCGATTGGCTTTTTGGCCGTCCATCAAAGGTGCAGAAGATGAATCAGATTGGACAGAAAGGACAGTCCAATGGAACCACTCCGAGTGCACCCATGATTAGGAGACAATGGCCGAGGTGTAAGTTACATCACCAAGGATTCCATTGCAATGGAGACCCAGTGCAGTGTTACGAATACAAAGGATACGGACATCTTCAGGGGGTGTGTCCTACTATTGGGACTAAGGTCACCGAGACAACACAGAGTGGTGGATCACAACCACCCTATAGCTCTGTGGGGAATACAATGAAGAATGTGGCAAAAAGCTAATAGCGGATCACAGTTGTCAGCCTCTAGACCTAGCCGGGGACCAGCTCAGATCAGTCGAGGTGGGTTTGCTAACCGGGGTAAATTTGGGAACAGAGGAGCGTCTTCAGCTTTCCGTGGAGGTAAGATAGACAACAACCGAGGAGGCTTCACTGGATCACTTAATGTGGTCACCTTGCAGGATTTGGCTTAGCACCCGAAGATTTTGATTGGTAAATTCACTGTCAATTCCATTCCTACCTTTGTACTTTTCGACTCGGGTGCCTCTATTTTATTTGTGTCAGAGGATTTTGCTACCGATAAGGTTTCTTTAGAAACCACGGCTCAGATTGATGCTAGAATTCAGCTTCCTAGTGGAACGTTTATCCACTGCGATGTTCTCTACAATAATGTACCTCTTCGTATCAATGGGGTAGTGTTTCCTACGAACTTGGTGCAAATGCCACTTTGCGAGTTCGATATCATCTTAGGCATGGATTGGATGGCTCACTATGCAGCACAGATAGATTGTGCCAACCGGTGTGTGTACTTGACTACTTCATCTGGTGAACGGATGATGTACGATGGTAGCAATCCTACCCCAACTTGTCGGGTAACTAGTGCGAATAAGTTCTATTCTTTAATTCGCAAAGGGTATCCATTGTACTTGTGTCAGGTACAGGATGTAGCCAAGGAAGAGAAATCTCTTGAGAAGATTCTGATAGTTCAAGAATTTTCAGATGTTTTTCCTGACGAGATCCCAGGATTTCCTCCTGACCGAAAGATTGAATTTACCATTGATCTAGAGCCAGGTGCAAGGCCAATCACTAAGGCCCCGTACCGTATGGCTCCACTCGAATTAAAGGAGTTAAAGGAGTAGTTGAAGGAACTCCCTGATAAGGGGTATATCCGCCCTAGTACTTCACCTTGGGGTGCGCCAGTCTTATTTTTGAAGAAGAAGGATGGAAGCTTACTCCTATGTATCGACTATTGGGGATTGAATCAAATCACAGTCAAGAATAAATACCCGCTGCCAAGGATTGAGGATTTATTTGACCAGCTTAAGGGGGAAACTATCTTTTCTAAAATTGACCTTCGATCTGGATATTATCAGCTCAGGATAGCCGAGCGTGATATTGCTAAAACGGCTTTTCGTACTCGCTACGGTCACTATGAGTTTACAGTGCTACATTTTGGTCTAACTAATGCACCGGCAGTTTTTATGGACCTTATGAACCGGGTGTTTCGAGAATTCTTGAATGAATTTGTAGTTGTCTTCATTGACGACATACTTATCTACTCTCCGGATGAGCAAGCACACCAGTTTCATTTGAGGAGGATTCTACAAACACTGAGGGATCACCAACTCTATGCAAAATTTTCAATGTGTGAATTCTGATTACATCGTATGGCTCTCTTAGGCCATGTGGTGTTCGGTGATGGTATTTCGGTAGATCCTTCTAAGATCGAGGTAGTAGTGAACTGGCCACAGCTAAAGTCAGTCTCTCAGATCCGGAGTTTCTTGGGTCTAGCCGGTTATTATCAGAGGTTTGTCCAGGACTTCTCTAAGATAGCTCGTCCTATTACATAACTATTGAAAAAGTCTAATTGTTTCACATGGTCAGATGCTTGCGATGAAGCATTTCAGGAACTAAAACGTCGTTTGACTACCGCACCAGTTCTTGCTTTACCCGACTGTGGAGGCGACTTTGACGTCTACAACAATGCTTCTCGCAAGGGACTTGGGTGTGTGCTTATGCAAAATGGGCGTGTTATAGCTTATGCTTCCCGGCAGCTCAAGTCACATGAGGAGAATTACCCGGTGCATGATTTGGAGACGGCTGCGGTCATATTTGCCCTTAAGATTTAGAGGCACTATCTTTATGGTACTAAGACGCGGATTTTTATTGATCACAAGAGTTTGAAGTATATCTTCACTCAACAGGAGCTGAATCTGAGGCAAAGACGATGGCTAGAACTGGTGAAAGACTATGACGTGGAGATACTCTACCATGAGGGTAAAACGAACATAGTTGTTGATGCCCTTAGTCTCAAGTCGAGCCATACGACCTCTAACCTAACGCTAGCATCGGCTCTATGTGTGGAGTTCCAGCGTTTCGGTTTAGAAGTGGTACAACAAGGGGTATCCAGGATTCTGTCCTTGAATAGTCTGCGGATGGAGTCCTCGCTTCTCGAAGCCATCAAGACCAATCAAGGAGATGATGCTGAACTCAAGCGTTACCGGGAGATGGTTGCAGATGACGAAGTAGATGGCTATTATCTTGATGAGAGATAACTTCTGAGACATCAGGAGCGCATCTGTGTACCCAAGGATGCAATAGACATCAAGCAACAAATCTTGCAAGAAGCTCACTCATCCCCTTATTCCATCCATCCAGGTACAGATAAGATATGTATCATAATCTGAAGAAGAGTTTCACGTGGGAAGGCATGAGGAAGGATGTAGCTGAATTTGTAGCTAAATGCATAACCTGCCAGAAGGTCAAGATAGATCATCAGCGACCGACAGGACTTCTTCAGAGAATGGATATACCAACCAGTATGTGGGAGAGTATCACTATGGACTCTATAGTCGGGTTATCTAGAACTCGAAGTGGATGCGACTGCATTTGGGTGATCGTGGACAGATTCTCTAAGGTAGCAGTTTTCATACCCATCAAGACTACTTGGCCTGTTAAGACATTAGCAGTGGTGTACACTAACAAAGTCATTTTTCGCTTTGGCACACCACTGGAGATCGTCTCTGATCGAGACCCCAGGTTTCAATCGAATCTATGGGCCTCGATCCAACAGCCTTTGGGAACTCGCATTCAAATGAGCACCTCTTTCCATCCAGAGATAGATGGATAATCCAAGAGGACCATACAGACTCTGGAGGACATGATGCGAGCTTGTGCTTTAGAGTATCAGGGGACTTGGGAGGACTGGCTACCTTTGGTAGAGTTCTCCTACAACAACAGCTATCATTCCTTTATATAAGCATCTCTATATGAGGTGCTTTATGGCCAGAAGTGTCGCACTCCACTGTGTTGGGGAGACCTTTCTGATAAGATCATATATGGACCTCAATTAGTGGAGGATGCCAAGGAGCATATGAAGGTGATCTATGACCGTCTCAAAACAGCTCAGGACCGACATAAAAAATATGTTGATAGAAGGAGACGTGATATTGGGTTCCGAGAAGGGGAATATGTATTCTTGAAGGTTTCACCTATGCGAGGGGTGAAGTGTTTCCACGAAAGAGGCAAGTTGGACCTTATCGTATCCTAGAGCGTGTTGGGGAAGTGGCATACCGATTGGAACTACCTACTACGATGAAGAAGCACCGTGATGTGTTCCATGTGTTGCAGCTGGAGAAGTACGTTCTTGACTATATCATCGATCAAGAGGAAGTCCAAATTGAGGAAGGATTGAAGTACCAAGTTTGATGTATTGTCCTTTATGAGTTTACTTTGATTTCGAGGACGAAATCTTTTTCAGGAAGGTGGATACTGTAATAATCTCGAAAACTTAAATAAATTTTTCGCGATTATTCTACCAATATTTCAGCCACTATATACAAAAATTTCAGCACTTAGCTCATATAATGCAGAATTTCAGTATTAGCCTAATCATTAAACCATTTATCTACATTATTCAAACACTAACCTAATTATTTCAACCACTAAGTCCACTTACAAATTTAAAAGTGGAGTAAGTGCAGAATTATTCATCCACTAAGTCCACTTACAAATTTAAAAGTGGAGTAAGTGCAGAATTATTCATCCACTAAGTCCACCTACAAGTTTGAAAGTGGAGTAAGTATACAAATAGATCAGCCACTAATTCACCCTATTATTTTAGCCTAGCACTAGAAGAAATGATTGGAATTCAATTATTTTTTTTGGAGCATGAAGTGTCGGCAGCAATTAAGTCTATAATTTCAGCACTAGCCTAAATATTTCAGTACTAACATAATTATTGCAACCACTAAGACATTGTCATCTTCTTCATCATCTTCATTTCCTTCTTCATTTTGAGAGGACTGTGCAATTTATCTTTCAGGGGCAATATCTCACAAACGGGGAAGAGTTAGAGTGAGATATTGGTACCTTTTCGAAGCTAACACGATAAGCCTTCCATCCATGTAAGTTTTACAATTTTTGGAATCCGTTTAGCCCTCCAAATATCCCCAAACCATGAGCTCTTATGTTGTCCACTGTAATAGTTGATAGTGCAACCTATCTTTCGGAGCCAATATCTCACAAATGGGAAGGAGTTAGAGCGAGATCTTGCTACAGTTTTGAAGCTAATTCGATAAGATTTCCATCCATATAAGTTTTCCAAATTTTGGTTTCCGTTTGTCACTTCAAATACCCCTAAACCGTGAGCTATTTTCTGCTCACTATACCAGTTGACTGTGCAACATAAATTTTGGAGCCAATATCTCACAAACTAGGAGGAGTTAGAGTGAGATCTTAGTACCGTTTCGAAGCTAATTTGATAAGCTTTCCATCTGTGTAAGTGATGCGAGCATCATAAGGCACTTCACCGACAATTCTTCAACATTGCCAAATAGACCCATCATGAGGATTAAAGACAAGGGATCTCCTAAAAACCTCAAAGTTGTCATTCCACAGAGATATGCAAATCCGAAGTACAAGGATGTTTTGAAGGCATTGAGCAAGAAATCAATCTTTGATGCACAATTTCAAGGGATTCATGCTGATCAAAACACGAACATGCCACAGATTAATTTTCTGACATTCTAGTTTATGTCCGATGGATCTGATTCCAGTTGGAGGAGAAGGTTCGTTGAATTAGCTTTCCAATGGTGCTTGAATTGCTCAATTCCGATATTAGATGAAGGAGATACGGCTGTTTTAAGTTGACTGCGCAGGGCTGTGCACGGACCCGGATTCTACTCGGCCAAACAGCTCCGTACCCGACCCGGTTCGCCCCTACTTGGGAAACTTGGTTATTTTGAGTTATTTTATTATATTATTATG